CTTAAGAGAAGAATCTCATCTTCTTTACGAAGAACATTGTTCACAACAACTCTAAGACTAGTGTTCTCTAGTAGTTCATTGGTCTGCAGAAGCCTTAAGGACAAGATATCCCATTTAGACACCTATATATATATATATATATATATATATATATATATATATATATCAGTCTACCTGTTCTTGTGAAGCGAGGTATTTCGGTTGCTAGACACGTTGGCTGAAAGCATAGCCGAGCCATTGTCGGTAATCTTCAATATGTCTCTGGACCAGTCTAAATGTCCAAGAGACTGGAAAGATGCCATCATTAGTCCGGTCTTCAAAACCGGATCTAGAAACTTAGTTCAGAACTACCGTCCTGTTAGTTTGACCAGTATTGTTGTTAAACTACTAGAAAGAATAATTCGTGATGCTATCATTCAGTTCATTGAAGGGAACAAACTTTTCGCTGTGGAACAGCACGGTTTTAGAGCAGGTCATTCTTGCTTGACCAACCTTCTTTTGGCCAGAGAAAGTTGGGCAAGCTCAGCTGATGCTAATATACCGGTGGATGCCATATTCATAGACCTTAGCAAGGCGTTTGGCAGGGTTTCTCATTCAGGTCTTCTAGTAAAGTTAGGTAGTCTGGGAATCAATAAAGTGGTTACCGACTGGATTCAAGACTTTCTAAAGGGCAGAAGACAAAGAGTACGAGTTAACGGGGTTTTATCAACATGGGAATCGGTTAAGAGTGGCGTTCCTCAGGGTACAATTCTAGGCCCACTTCTTTTCCTGATTTATGTTAATGAGATTCCATCGGTAGTTAAGTCATCCTGCTTACTGTTTGCTGATGACATCAAGATATGGAGGGCTTTGCACGATGACAGTGATCAACCTGCTTTGCAGGAAGATTTAAACTTGTTAAGTGATTGGTGTAAGCACTGGGCCTTGGAGATTAACTTAAGCAAGAGTGTAGTTATGCATGTATCTCATAGTCACGTGCACAACCACTCAATGAATAGCATTACTCTCCCAGTGGTCACTGAGTACAAGGACTTGGGAGTGGTTGTGCAGCATGACTTGAAAACAGCAACAAACTGTAGAACTGCAGCCACTAAGGGTTTTAGAATGGTATGGGCCATACGCAAGGCTTTTGCGAACTTTGACGCTGATATATTTCGTATATTATATCCGACTTATATCAGACCTCATTTGGAATATGGGATCCAGGCAGCGAGCCCGTGTTTCATATACGAAATAGACTTATTAGAAAGGGTGCAAAGAGTAGGAACTAAGCTAATAAAGGGCTTCTCAACCCTGTCATATGAGGAGAGGTTAAGACAACTGGGTTTATTTCCACTGTCATACAGACGACTTAGGGGTGACCTAATACTAGCATACCGTATCCTAAGAAATGATTTTGGAGCTAATTTATCTAAATTATTTCTTCCTTCTAGCACCAGCCAATTACGAGGACATCACCTCAAGGTTCAAAAACCACGGTCGAATCGTCTGCGTCTGGAAATCCGTTTTTCGCATCGAATTGTGAACCATTGGAACTCCCTACCGGAACACGTCGTATCAGCGCCATCCGTTGATTCATTCAAGGCGAGATTGGACCTCCTGTATGCAATAAATCGAAAGGATTAACACAGGCATATAGCCTACCATCCTAAATAAATTGTAAACTGTAAACTGTATTTCGTCTAAAAGGCTTCAAGAACACTATTCCACATGGCTGCAGAAAGGCAGGAGTGGCTCTATAAGGAGTGCGATAATCGAACACCTTGTCACCACTGGTCACTCCATCTCAACAAACGTCTCTCTCAAAGTGATCTGCAAAGCGAAAAACAACCTACCAAAGGCAACTCGGTTTCGTACCCTGTGCATTGCTGAAGCCCTAGCCATTCAGATAGAGAAACCGCACACACAAAACAAAATTATTCAGCCGCGTCTGCTATCATGATTTCCACTAACTCGGTTGCTGTGTGTTTGTTTTCCTATTTCCTTATAAATCTTGTATTTCTTTAGAACTCTTACATGATTCTAAATTCTCCATCGTTTCTATGTGCATTCTGATTACAACTCATTCACTGAATTATTCTTCTTATTACGTGACTGTAATACATTTGTTCAACTCCTCTTATGCATTCACTAATCTTAACAACTACGATCATGACAACTCATAACTTTTGTGAATACCCTCTCTCATGAAAAGTTGTATAAAAATACGATTGTACACCAAAAAAAGTGAATTTACCGACAAATAGTCGCTTCGCTGAACTACATGTTTCGATTTTATCAATCTGATTAATTTAGCCTGATGAACTCAGTGTTAAACACATCTCTACGGGTATATTCAGCAGACGGTTTTAGGGTAAGTGTTGCCAAATAGCACTAATCTCAATGAAAGATTTTGAGACACTCATTGGAACTAGTCACCCACTGAATGAAGAAATTTGTACAAGTAACAGTTCCAAACGGCTCAGTAGTCTGTTTCATGCATGACTGTCAGACGAATTTCTATTTGGATTATATTTATGGATTCATACCAATGAAAGATGAAACAATACTGGATTTCTTTTAAAATCCGGTGTATAGTTTCCGATTCCCTATGATTTCTATGAAGTCCCTTCATAACACTACGAAATACGATCACACAGCAGTGACCACTAAACCTTGTCAACCATTGATATCGCCATAGGTATAGAGTTCCTGTCAACTACAGATGGACAATAGCAAAGTCTTAACAGATGGTAACCATAACTTGAGTCCCACAATCCTCATTTCCTTTAAAAGCACTTAGTTCACTCATCCCTCAGTCCTCCTGGCTTGTTATTTACTGTCGTGCTATAATTTATCAAACTATTCTTATGTCTTTTGTTCATTCCAGGAGATTCTTGGGGCCTCGGGAAAATCCGAACCCGTCAAGGTGCCTAGGCGTCTTTGGATTGTCCTTACACACTCAAGAAAGAAACCTGTATGATATTTTTTCACAATATGGAAACATTGAAGATGTTCAATTGGTCTTCGATAACTACACTGGTTTGTTGAATACTTATATCTATTCATCTTTCAGGTCGTTCCAGGGGCTTTGGTTTTGTTTATTTTACGCACGTTGCCGATGCGAAAGCTGCCAAAGCTGATGCTCATGGTATGGAAATCGATGGCCGACCAATTCGATGTGATTTCAGTATAACGGAACGCCCTCACTCACCTACTCCAGGAATTTATATGGGCAGACCATCTAGGTAAGTCTGACACAAGTATACAAAGCATGGTTGTGCAATACTTAGTTTTGAGATGACCTTCAATAAGTTTCGCCAATGTAGACTTAACAAAGTAAAGTTTGTGCTACTAATGTTGCATCCACCGAAATGAGTCAAAAAAATCTCAATTTCTCCTTTCCTTCGACATCCACGTTAATATCGGTAGTTAGAATTGTGGCGTCTGTTACACATCCTTGTGTTAGTGTGTGTGACGGAAACTTGTAGTCTTTTCGCATAAAAATTTTGAAAGTTAACTGCAGAAGCTTGATATTAGCCTTAAATACATTATGTGCTGGGACTACGGTTGTAACTTCTTTCCTGTAGCTGTCCAGTTTCTACAGGTGATGTTTTTAGTGATTGTTTGTGGTGTAATTTCTGCAAACTTATAGTAGTCCTACTTTCGTTTGACGTGATAAATTTTTCGTTTTGTGTTACCCAATGTAGTACTTGTGCCATACATAAGCTAGATTCCGATCCTTTTTTAGACGCCCCATTCCGCGGAGACGAAGTATTTCTCCACGTGGACGCTATTCTCTTTCAAGGTCTCGTTCGCGTAGCGATGATCGTAAGTAGCTCTGCATTTTAACCTGCTGTTTTCCTCCAGGGCGTTTCTAAACAATGACATTTGTTTAACCCCATTTTACTGAGGTGCATTTCAACTTCAGTTTACAACTGTTTCATTCACTGTCTGTAATACAAACCTTTCATCCGTTTACTAACATGTGCTGCGAAATAAACACATAGTCAAGTATTATGATTCATTTTGTCTTTCTTTTACAGTTGTGTGAATGCCAAATAAGAAAATAGAATGCATTTGTTAAGAACCCTTACAGAAGAGTAATGAATACAAAGAATTGACATGAAATAATCTTGAAGTATATTTATGTGGACAATGAATACTAATTACGAAAGTACTGAGGATTCTACCGAAGTCAAATTCCATTTTCGAAGTCAGTCACCTAATCGTTGGAAATGATTTAGGCGTTTCGCCGCAGAAAATAATCAGACTTTGAGAAATCTTGCTTTGATGCGTTCGGCATTTGCGTAGAATCAGGCTGTTATGAAGTTAACGGGAACAGGTGTCGTAAGACGTTTTCACTCACGGTATTTACTGAACACCGAATCGTCCTGAAAAGTCTAGTGTCAGTGGTTAAGTCTATATTATTCGAATTCACTGGTGATTACTTCTCAAAGAAGGTGCTGAATATTCAGTTTCTGAACTCTGGGGGCTGAAAGTGAATAAGTCAAGAGTTTTGCGTGAATCGAAATTTATAATCATTAGTCAGTTTGCAACTGATTTGTGAATATAACTCGGGAATCTGTCTTCTGATTCTTACGGGAATGTGAACATGAAATGATGTATCGTAAGTTTATCACTTTATTAATTTTAGCTATTCGAACGTAGATAAGATGGTCGCAAGTTTTTTGAATTACTAGAGTTGTGCATGCAATCAAGAAAGCAGTACTTTTGTAACCAGTAACTATTGTATTTCTAAACCTACTGTGATGTGGAAAGATATACAATTAAGGGTTTACAAAAGTGACAAAGATATATCGAGTTCCTTTTGTTGTTGGTAGCCCTTCATGTAAATGTGTCACCCTTCCGGGACTCATTACAACCCAACCAACTCGTGTATCTATGATTGAACAGTTATATCGATTGAAGCGAACTCCTCCTCCCTGTTAAAGTAAAACAAAAGTCGGTTAAGTACTGCTTGTGTTGAGTGTGATCTTCACATAATTGATAACACCCACCTGATAGTCTTTCCCGGGTTGGTTCAGTCCTATATTAAGCGTATATGAAGATGCATCATGATGTGGTCTCAGTGAGGGTTGTTCTTCCGGTCTGTATCTGACAACAAAATTCATGCGTGCTCGTGGCTAGATAAATTGAAAATTCATAAAATTAGTTACTTGGAACAATGATGCTTCGTGAACAATTGCACATTATAAGATACTCACTCTGTCTTCGTATCCTTCGTAAAGCTTTTTCTGTATTGGGTATATGTATTTCCCCAAGACGTGTTGCCAGTGCTCTTCCCAATCGACTTGGCGCATATGGATATCGCGTGTAGGTACATTTTCATAGCCCCCTTCAAGTCGTGGGTCGTGGTTATCCCCATTTGACCACTCACCAAAGTTTTCCATCTCTTCAATAAGTTGCTTGCAAAACGTTTCTGTTAATAGGGGAAACCAGAATACATCGGGACATGGTTGTTCAACGTCTGCCATTGTGATTTCAGTTTTCAAAAAGTTGAAGAATTCCTGTTGTATATAATGTTCTTCCCAGTCCTGTTTAAATATAAACAATTATAGGTTTAATGAGGTGTTCAAACACTTACTATCTTTCGACTTTTTCACCTGAGATCTATCGTCTGTCTGTGTATGTTTCAAATGGTCTGAAATATTGTAACGAATATTCACGATTGTGTTGTACATAATGTATTATTTGAAGATGCACTGTTTCATTATGTTTATATAGTCATGAGTCCCCATTGGGGTAGTGTTAAACTTTTAATGAGCATTGTTTTTTTGTAGGTAACCGTTTTTTATTTTAGTTTGTTATTCTGCTTATGCGAATCTTAATTGATTGACGAGACAGTGCAAGTACATTTGGCGAAAACAAACACCAGCGAGGGTCTCGAATGTTTTCATTCCTAATGACTATTGTGGATGCAATAATGTATGCATAGCAAGGTTATTTACTTTCATAGTCTAAAAATATACCTTCCACATCTATTTTGCTCTTTTTGCTGTTTACTGTGTGCTATTGAGTACCACGAAAGTAAGGAGTGGTATTCCGGAGAGGCAGAGAGATACCGTAGTGCTGACTGGAATCGAATGCACAGGTCGGTCGTTCAGGCTCAGAGGAGTCGTCTAGGTGATCAGGGGGTTTACATGATGGCAGGTCGGATAATGGGAACCGTTTTATGCAGATCACAACCTATTTCTAGCCAGCACCAACTTCAGGCACGGTCATCACTGTAGCGCTACCTGGTGTCTTCCGTCTGCCAATCAAGCCTGGACTCAGATTGATCATATTGCTGTCAGTTTCCAGTGGCGATGATGCATAGAAGACTGCCGCTTCTTCTGGAGCACATGCCTGGACTCCGATTATGGGTTAGCGTGTGCCAGGTTCGTCTTGCGATTTGGTGGGGTTCATAAAAGACGTCGTCTAACCGAAGTGAGCAAATTAGTAGCAGGTGCTACTAATTTGAAATGCCAGAATGTGTTACAATCAATGCTTGCGAGCAACTACTGTTTGGTAGCAACCCCCAAGTAGTATAGATGAACATTGGCTTCATCTGCAAGATGCCACGCAAATGGCGAGTGTTGCGGCTTGAAAGAATGCTCTTCTAAAAACCACTGGGTTTCTGCGAGTTCCTTGCAACTCCTGGATGATCTCCGGTCTATTCCGGCTGGTAGGGAATACAGCAATAAGCAAAAGGTGCTTACACCCAAGACTGGACAGTGCTTACGTAAGGACCGCGAAGCCTGTTGGTCAGAACGTGCGTGTGAGATGGAGTCAGCTGTTGCATCTGGCAACAGTCGGAAACTGTTCCAGCTCATCCGAGCCACCGGCAGCAAGAAACAAGGTGTCGGCGAGACGGTCTGTGAGGCAGATGACACACCAATTACCAGCCTGGAACGCTGGGCAGAGCACTTCGAGAATTAGTTTAGCTGGCCACCAGGTTTAGTATCTGCTGTCACTTCTTCACCCGGGTTGGAGTCCGAAAGATAGCTCAAAACATTATTGTATATGGCCAAGAATCGTAATCGATGGCGAACGTGCTGCAATTTCCTTCTTTCTTCCCCTCCTCATAGTACTTGACGACTACTGTTTGAATTTATTAAGTATGTCTGTATTCCTGCCAGACGAAGTCCTTCATCCGTTCTCTACTTACATTATTACTTTTCATGTGTGTTGTTTTATTATTATTCCGTCGCGCATCGTCTTCATGCCACACTGTACCAAATTCTTCTGCGATTAAATAAATACAAATTCAGTATCACATAAAGTCAGGACAAATAGTATATTTGAACCCTATTGATTAACTTCGTAAACTCACCTGTGGATTGTCGAATATTTGCCACAAGTCGTTGTGGAGGTGATCGTTAGTGTAATTGTCAGCATTCATCAAGTACCCGAATTCCACTTGATTATCCACAAACATGAAAACATTCTGTGATAAAAAGGAGTTGCACTAAATAAAGATAACTCACTTTATCTCTTGCTTCCTTGGCGAAGTTCATGTCGATTTCGTTCCCTAGTTTTGCGTCAATCAACTTACGCACCGCCCATCGTGAAATTAAATAGGCACTACGAACTAGGGGAACATTCCAGATTCCACTAAAAACCATGAAAAGTTGGTTAATAGAAGGTATACTTTTGTTGTTTTCTACTCACCTTGTATTATAACTGATTATATCCATGTAGTCTTCCGACCTAGTATAAAACCCATCACTACCCAGTGCTCCCCAAAAGTTTGACCACGCCTTTCCTCTTCTTGTTAATAATGGTGCAATTATTGATCGGTTCATCTTAACTAAGTGGTCCAAGGTTTTCGGGTTGGTTAGCTGAGCGATACTGTCTACTACAAATACGTGCTTGCAGTCCTCAACTGATAGACAATGCGCACTGCAAAACAAAGATCAGTATGTCGTGGAAAATGATACACTACTTACAATACTCTCTTCCTTGCTGCCTCTTCACTAAGTTCCTCGTCGAGCCAATTTATCGAGAGGTACTCGTGTCCAAATGTGTCATTGAAATGTTCTATAAATGAGAGTTGGTTTTTCGCCGTTCTCTGTAAAGGAAATAATATCGTTTATTTCCATACTGAATATTGTACCACTTAGTAGATACGGATAGATGAAATGGCATTTCCGAGAATGTCACTGTACCACCCAGACCACCTAAGCTATGCTGTATGAATTAAGCGTGAAATGTTTGGTTTATTCTCTTTACCGGCCTAACATTTTTACAATTAAAGTTTTCCAGGTTGTTTTCACCCTATACGGTTGTATTTCTGAAGACCTGTACTCTCCATTACTGCCTTTCTGTCTTTTCCCCTGTTCTCCCTTGACTTCTTCTGTAAATTGACAGATGACATCAGTCTGATAGACACTTAGTTGTTGACCGTACTATTATGTGGTGTTTCCCTTAAATCTAAACTCCCTGATAAAGCCCTAAATCGAGACGGTAAACAATTTCAATCTGGATGCAGATTTCTACGACATGAGTGTTCACTCATGGGTTAGTATTACTCATCATTGTTTCCCACTCCTCCAGACATTTAATTTATTTGGAGGTGATTTTGATATTGAGGTTTCAAATAAAGTTTAACATAACATCCTTGTCAGTCTTAATTTTAACTCACCGCTCTGTGACCCACTATATGAATTCGAGACTTCGGATATGACAGCTCTGCTACTCGTTGGAAAAACTTTCCAATAAACGGTGTTGGGTATTCAATGAAAATCCCCATGACTATCAGCGGATATTCCTGCTTCTACAAATAGGAGAATAATTTTAAAATAATTTTTTATTGTGAATGAAAGGCATTGCGATAAACACTGGGTACACAATATTTGTTTCACTTTAGATAGGTAAATGCGTTTTCTATCTGGGAAAACACATTTTTATCAGACAGTCAGTTATGATCAGAATCGTATAGGCATTGTCAGGTCGTGATGTTTAGTTGAGTCAATGTTCAGTGACGTCGAGTAAACACAAGCCCTGAGATCTAACTGCAGTAGGGATGGATGGAGACGATTTCGATGGTAGGATTTGGGAGCTTATTAGCATTACCATCTCAAGTCGTACAGTCGACACACATACACACGTCTCTACTGTTTTGTAAACCTACCTACAGTTACACATATCCAAGCCAGTTGTATTGAATGACAGAAATATGAGCGGAATGCTACTCTCGAAATGTGAACGATATCAAGTAAAGAAGATACATTATTCCTTTACACATCTTGAGTAACTTCATTAATATTCATATAGTGGTTTCCCACTAGTTGAACTAAGTTACATGACACTCTAGATTACCATTATGGAACATTGATAAGATGCTGCTACTGTTGCCTTTGCCAGAGTTTTCGTGAGAGTACGTCTAAACAGGAGGGTTATTGGTATAGTGGGCAATAGTACGGTTACTGTTTACGTGGGTGAATTTTATTTGCATATGAGTGTATCAGTTAAAATATTTTACTAGGCAGACTTCTTCTACTCTCCTACACCGTAATCGAGATTAGGGCAATCGACATGTTATGTATGATTTTCATCAGGCTGATGATAAAGTGAGTATAAACTGAATTTGTGTTCATTACTGTACGTTTCACGAAAAATTTAGGCGACATATACACTTACCTCGTTTCTCAGCTATTTACAATGCATTCACATTATTCAAATTATTTCTCCAGGCCTATTGATTATACTATGATGATTCATATCTCTGAGTGTTATCAATTTATTCAGTGTTCTATCGGTTTAGTCTGGTGTCTGTAGGTATATTTATCACTCCTCAAATGTCCACTTTCGGTACCTCTGAGTACTTGGTGATTTGAGTGGGCGACCGCTGTCGAGAAACCCTGTTCTTGAACTGAGCAACAGAAGCGCTTGTTTAATCCCATCCATCTGGTCTGAGTCTCCAGGGTAGACTGTCGATATCGACTATTACTAATATTAGTAAAACAGTGACTATTTACATGCAAGTTTTCAGTCTTGGAGCTTAAAACATCCCTATTCTATGTGCATCGGTGTCACAGTGTTTAGACTCTCACTGACCATGCACATGGTCCGGGTTTCGATCGCCTGCCGAAGCACACCTGATATCTATGGTCGGCCTGCAAAATTTGGGCTACCGACATCACATGCTGAAAATTCCATACTTGTACCGAAAAATACGGTGTGGCATCAAGCTGTAATCAAAACCAAAAACAAATAAAAACATTTTGTCACAACTAGAAGTAGTGGTGAAGTCACTGCTTATATTAGGAAGAACTGCTGTTTCGTTTCTTTCAGGCTTGTATGTCACGGGCAGATTACAATCAGCTACTTGGTTTGCTGCAGCTACCAGTGGATGATGCTTTGGTGTTCAAGCACCACTCACTGGGTATGCAGGTACATCCAGCTGACGAAGTTCTCTTCCTGGATCCTACTGCTAGCCACCACCAATCAAGTTACTTTAGTGTGCCTCTCAGGCGTGAGTATTAGGAGCCAACATGTCAACAGGAAATTCGAAAACAATCTCAACGAACTAAAATCCAGCTTTATGTCTGTTGGTAAGAATTCACTTTCTGTCCAATTATATTTTGAAATGCCACTGCCTAATGATTTTTTATCCTTTAATTTGTATATACATAAGAGAATGACCATCCATTAACTAGAGGAATTACACATATTATACATAAACAAAGGAATAGACGCATGATATTGGTTACTCTCTAGTGTACAATCGAAGTCTCCAGTACCGTTCTACAGGAGCCCGGATTGCCCAGTGTTAACGTCTCTGACTGCAGCACTTGGTGACACGGGTTAGAATCTGAGAAGCGAGATTATTTACTTGAATGATCACTTTGCTTATTACGTATTTATTGTTTATTAGGAAATTGATTGATTGAGCGTTTTATGAAGTACTTTGTTACATATGGAATGAAATTTGTCGTTAAATATTTTATCAAATATGTGAATTATTGATATAAGAATAGAACTTTTGCTCTGTAGTAGTGTATGGTTTCTCTGTAGGTAATATTTATTTTGATAAATCCTCACATTATTATGCAGTAATATTTACAGCATGTATTGCTGTATAACACAGTGAGGCTTCGTGGAAATAAATTATACCCACAACAGAACTATCGAATAATAATAAGGTTAACGAATAATTTCAACGTGTCAGTGAAACGATTCTCTCATTCTTATTCCTCTTCGTCTTGATTATATGCAACAGGTTTCTGTTCATTGAGAGATCTTCCTTGACAGCATTGGCATCTTCGATGAAGTTTCTGTAAGTCAGTCTAAAAGTTTTATTCCCATATTTATTAAAATTTTTAAAAAAAGCATTTTATATTGTAATATCTTACAAGTATTCTAACTTATCCATGGCGTCGGTGGCTTAGCGGTTAGGACGCTCGCCGACCATGCACATCGACCGGAGTTCGATTCCCGGCCGACGCACTCCTTTACCTTGATAAGCCAAAAATAAAGCTTGTGAAGAGTAAAGGTTGTGTATGAGGCTAGCAACCCCATCCTGTAAAAATAAACACTGCTACAGAAACTTCAAGCCTCCAGCTTGAAGTCCTATGCTCCACTGGGAACGTGAAGGAAAAATTATTATTATTCTAACTTAGGTTAGAGGTAGAATTTGTGGCTGAGCCACACTTTACACAATAATTTTCTTATGGTTTTTGAAACAGTGTTATTCTCCCTTACGTAATGAAAATTTACTGAAATCATACAGAAAACTTACTGTGTAATCATTGAGATGAATATTATTTTCTTCACATTGTTGGCATCCTCGTGAAGGTGTCCATGAATATGCAAGATAGTTTGACAACGAACTGAATTCCACCTTTCCAAAATGAACAGTGATCAGGAAATGTGTATGAAACTTCCAATGTAATGACTGTTTAATAATCGTAATTAATTCTTAGTTTTAATGTAAATTCCTTATGAGACTCAAACTAGAATGAAACAGCGATCTACTTTTCAAATTCTCTCTATAATATTTAGAATATAATTCACAACTAGGAATTATGATGAAGCAATCATAACCTACACAGCTAAGCTTTCAAATAGGTTGTCTACATTTTCTAAACACTTTGGGGTCGTTTCAAATAATTTCATAATGACTTAATCAGACTCGGCGCTCAAATTATCTGAGAACAGTTAGAACATCCCTAATTTGGATATTTGCAAACTTTCTCATTTTCCATTTATCTAGCCTTCTTTAAAGAAGTAGCTTCATAGGGTACGAGAGAGATTCTCGTGTGAGTATATCTTTCCCCATCGTCATATCATATACCGTAGCAGGGTGACTGATTTCTTAACTTCTCCCACTTACATAGAAAACCACAATTCCATCATACTATGGAATAAGCAGTACCTAAACCCTTCTGTTACAAAATTAAGATAAAGCTATTCGTATACAAAACAAGCAACAATTGTTAACGAAGTAAGATTTAATGAATTAATTAAATTTCGTTGGAGTACTCTGTGTACAGTGCTACATTCACTGTAACTTGGTAGCGTCACTCACTGTAGTCAGACAGACAAACATGAGGATGTTCGCGAGTATAGGGATCTGCTTAGTTAGGATCTATAATCTCCAGTCTATGTGTAAAGAATCTACCATAGTAATATCTTCCACTTAATAATTGTTATTAGTGTTATTTCACTTTACTCCATCTCTTATTATTAGTCTTGTGTTCTTCAAAACTATCTTTTGTAAGTATCATTATCTTAACTCATTTTATTATTACTTTTCATTTTGTAATTCCTGACATTTTCAACCTTTGTCTCGGCAACTAAAATGAAATATAATCTATTATAATCTTAATTCTTAATTTCTTATACTCTTCTCCTTTATCTATCCTGAACTGACCTATTTTCTCAGCTATCGTTTGTCATGATTCATTCACTATAGTTAATTTACAAGGCATATGTCTCCGAATGTATTTCACATGGTATGCATAACACTGTATGCGGAGTATTTAGCTGAAGAGTTTAACGAAATTAGATGGATTCGTTAAATGCCTCCTTATTAATATTCGTTACTTGTTTTAAATTTGTACAGGGAAATGAATGTTTCCCACTTTGTATATTCTCAGGACACCAAATGGGAAGAAACTACAATGTTGTTTTAAATGAAGAAAATCTATCATCTACAAATTAAGTGGTTCGAGAGGAAATTTCATCTGATGTGAATTATTATATGAGTCACGTCTTGTTTGTTTCACTCTGAAGTTAACCTGGGGCTGACATGTTAATGCTTTAAAAGGTCCATTCTTTACAGTTAATAAAATTATTACTAATCAATTATTTATCAACTGACACTGGGTGCCTATTTTTGTGAAATATTCCATTTTCCGTGTCTATGCGCATCAAATCACCTGAAATCTAACCTCTATCCCCCAAAACATAACACAGAATTCAGTCTGCTTTCCTTCCACCTACGCCTTTTATTATTATTTGATTTACAGACCAAAGAAATAGCACAGAGAGATGCACAGAATGATGACACCGCTTGGGCAGACCTGAAAGATAAAAATCAATAGGTGAATTTCTTCCCCTATTTTCGAAGTTTTCAGGCCAACGTCTTAAAGCGTGATTAAACGTAAACTGAACTAAGGCTAAGTATATTTATAAAAACATTTCTAAGTGAATTTCTGGTTAGGTTAAAGTAACATTACAAGATAATAAACTTTTCCTAATGTTATTCTTTCGTCTAAATTCTTAAAAACTAATTATAATTCACTAGAAGTCGATTATTTTATATAATTTTGCGATATTAAGATGATACATTATGTAATACTATCCAATGACATGTATTAAGCAATGTTGCACACTTGTTATATGTAGGTTAATAACTTTGCATTACTCGTCAAATTTTAAGATGTGGACTGAAATTAAAAGTCATAAACCTTTATCTGAAAGTCCTGTGGTAATATCATTAATTCTCATCACATAATGTTGAGTTGTAAAGATATATCTTAGTGTAGTAAATCGCATACCAAAAAACATTTATGTAGTCTTCAATTCAAATAGTTTGTCTTTGTAATAAACTTAAATGACGAATTCTTAAGACATATATTGCAAGATAATGTCATTTTATGGTTTCTATACAACATCGTTATAAATACAGTAGTCAAAAAGTGTATAGTGAACCGTATAGCTGTGGCACAACTTTACAAAGACTAACATTTTTCTCCTGAGTAGGTAATTTTAATTTGAAGTTTTATTAAACTTACCTTTATTGGCCCATTACCGTGAGCAATAACTGGTGTCGTAGAAAATACTTTATTAAATAAGTATCCTGTCTCATCAGTAAAGCGTAATTCAACATCGTCTGAAATAAAACAATAATCACTTTCTAAACTAGCAACCCAATGATATATAACAATGAATTTTATCCTAACTGTAATAGATGTCTCAAAACAAAAATTTAAATAGGCAAACTCTCTTAGAAACAATGCTTAATAATCTTACAACGTCTATGGGACAGAATCATTCACTTAGCTGAATCCTATAAAATAAGTGAGAGTTCAAATACATAACGGGTCAGAGTACTTAACCAAAACCCGTAAAGCCGCATAATAACCTACGAAACCCCATAACTAAAAACAGTGTAAACAATTACGAGCAACTATTTGTTATGATAAGACAGTCAAATAATCCCAAAGAATGAAAGTGTCGATAACCTAGTTTTTATTCATAAAATTATCCTCAAATACTTGCAATAGGAAAGATTTGATATATCTAGAGATTGTACTATCCATTCAACAAAGGAATATATAAGATTTGAATCACAATAGGAAATCCCCAAAGTCCTAAATCGCCTAGGAATAAATTATATCCGAAGTAATAGGTCAATTATAGGCAGTATGTTCAGTGCAGTGAGTGAATCTACAGTTGTTTCGTTTGGAAAATAAAGCTGTTCAAGCCTCAATATGTGATCTGTTCAATATCGACAGTAAGCTCAAAACCCCAAAAATGAGAGATGTACGATATACAATAGTGACTGATGTAAATAACTGTAAATAATTGACACCCACGAGTAGTAACCCTTAGTCAAACAGATTGTGCTTTAAACACCCAATCACCTTTTCACTCGTGTTAAAACTAATTCAGTGTAAAGATGATGCACAAATATTTACTTTATAACTTAGACAGAATTGAGTCAATTCTCGTTCATTTTTTCCAAAGTATCATGCAATGAATAACCCCATTTCACTATGTCTGGCGTGCAGCAAACAAACTGAAATAAAACTAAAATCAGTTTTCTACTCATACAGAAGCATTTGAGAAGTGTGGTGTCAGTCATCTTATGATTACTCTTGCGAGCAGTTTTTTTTTGTCGTAAATCTGATTTAATGAAAACCAACTTGTCTGTTACTTCCTTTTGGAAGTATTCACGTCCATAAGTGAAAATAACTGCAAGACAATGTTTGCAACACTTAAGTTAATAATAGTTGTGTTACAAAGTTGTGTTGAATTCAACTAATAAGGCTTTTTTTCTGAACCATGAAGTCATAAGTTCTCTACGCTTATCAGAGTCAAAAAAAATCTTACTAATTTTGTTTCTGATAAGTTTTAGTAAACTGTCACCTTCAGGATAAAAGATGGCAATGTTCATATATAAGTAGTATTAGAAAACTACTGAATAACTAATTCATTCAACTCACTGAATGCTCCATTAAGATTTTGAAAAATCCTTGAAGTTTTATCCAACTGAATATCATATTCTTTCTAGAAGGAGAGAAAATCAGTGTTAATTCTAGTTGTATAGTTATGCAGAAAAAAGGGGAATTAAGAATCAAGCTCTTGAAACCGAACTAATAAGACGAAAATGGCATATTTTTTGTAGTGAGTAATTTAGATGACTACATCATAAGCTATATGGTTAAATTTTAACTCCATACAATATTTTTCAACAAGATAATCAAAACCTCTCAATGTAGGTATTAGTCTCATAGTAAGAAAAATTATCACAGTTTGTAGGCTGATACACAAGCGAAGTGTTTACAATACGAATAATCATTTACACTAATGCATAATAACGCCTTCATCTTCAAAGTTTGAATTTCACTGTCTTGGGAAATGTTTTTAAAAAAAGTATATGCAGTTAGCCATCGAAATATGACCTAAAAGCTTATTAAGGAAATTGTTAACTTGAAAATATCACTGTTTTAAAAAATTTGTAGAAAACATTAATAAAATAATAAACAACAACACAAATGAACTTACAAATTTGTTCCAAACTTCTATAAAAATATTTTAATATCAATTTCAGTACCTATAATTTATAAAACACTGCCTCAGCGTGCCTCCAACTCAATCGATTTTCTGTATCGTCTTAGTTTTATTTGTTTAGTTGTTGCATTCCAATCACTGTACTTTTTTAAAATAAAACTGTGCAGTAAGTAAGCATTACAGCCTCACATGCGTTGATAAGAATTCATTAGGAGACTAATTTCGTTTCAAATCATCCTTTGTTGATGATTCGATGTTTTAAATTTTCCATATTTCGATTACCTGGGTCATATCTTTTAGATAAAAATGACAATTTATTATCTGCCACAAAAGAAGGTTCTTCATATTCTATGTATTGATGGACAGTTGTTTTGTATTCTGATGTCACTTCAGTCGGAGTGCTTTTCTGTCAGTGTGAACTATGGGTCAGCAAGCATCAGTCCAGTTTATTCTTATTGTTTAAGCAATAATGCAATCAATTTAACAGTCACACCATAATTACATACGGAACATTAAAATAATCTATCAGCTAAAAATACTGTATTAAAAGCGGTGACACTGACTAGGAATCTTATTAAGTGGGATAAGTTTAAAAATAACTATATCGAGTGACGCAACATAACGGACAGGAGTGAGTAGCAGGTTTATTTATGGCAAGTTCCAGTTCTCTTGACAAACGAATTAGTAATTTTATGTCTTGTATGCAAGTATACTTGAGTAGCTAAAAAAAGCAGTTTGTATTAATGCTAATTTTTTTTGTCTGTTAAAACAGACATATAAATCTGAGCAGTTACTTACACTTTAGAGATATCTGCACACAAATTACGGAATAAAAAAAGTACCTTCTTAGAAAAGTTTACACAATACTACTCTGAAGTGTATCAAAAAAGAGTAAATTTTAATAAAATATCAGTGATGTTCTTAAGCTAAGTGTAATTGAATAAAATGAGAAAAACTTATTCTCGTTAATGTGTGACTGAAGTCTTGCTATATTCAACAGACGGAATTTTCGTACCACTTTATATGAGTATCAAAATAATATTTTCTAAAAGCCATTTTTTTAAATCAAGCAATGAAGGTTATCCGTCTTGATAATAGTAAAGATGGGTTGACTTAAGAGTGACCGACTGTCTACACATTACGTAGGTAAACTCAAATAAAGTATCAAGATTAAATTAGTCCGTACAATCTAAAAGAAAAGTAGTAAAAAAACTCACTCAAAACAAGCTAATCAGGAGCACAAACCTGCGAATGCTTTAACTGTTCACATGATTACAGTACAGTAAGTAAGTAATATTTTTCACTGTGGTGATACAATTCCAATGACTAAAATATGAAGGAAAGCCACAAAACTCACTTGCATGGAAATACATGTAGTGATTACTCTAAACTTCTCCAGGATACATAAAGTACACTTATTTAGAAGATTTAATTGTATTCCTGCAATATATCTCACACAATCGGGCTAATTTATGGATAATGTTACAATGAAAAATACATTCGTCTTTTATAATTCTTACTGCAAATTATCATAAGTTACCTGAAGGTCTAGATCTAGTCTTCATAATTTTTTCGACGAAGTGTAGACTTTTGGAGCACGGATATATCTCTATGCAGTGAGTCTTCTAGATGAAAACAGTACTGAACGGCATTTTCTTACGTTCAACTAATTACATGCCATACAATCTAGATTCACCAGCTAACTTACTACTCTCCTATTAATCAAGATTTATTGCCATAATGCCTCTTCACAAATGAACAAAATAAAACAACTTCATACCAGAAAACACACCAAGTAATAGTGAAAAGTAAATATCAGTGCATACTCTGAAAACTGAAATTGAAAGTTATCGAACTGTTTTAATGTTAGAAGCTAAGCAACACCGTGCTATTGACCAAAGTATCAAAACTCCCAGATATCATAAGCAGTGAGTATCTACAATAATAAGCAAACTAATGAGATCTAAAAACACATCACTAGATGGTTAGGTAAGAAGTTTTATTCATAGAACAATATAGTCAAGACTGATTCTTTATGTGATTGGACGGTGTAAGTGGGTTGATCTTCACAAGAAAACCACTGTATTAACATCACTACCACAACACTATGAAGTACGTTTTGTATAGGAAATTAAATAATAAACATGAGACCTCAGTAGTATGATCGTTACTGAAACGTATGAACTATGGATTGAAGCATTTACAACGCTGGTGTACACAGAACCACATACGTAGAATTTGCTCTAAACAAGTCATGTTATACAATAAAAACTGTCGAAACCTCCTTTTTATTAAGGAGGGAGGTTCACACCTTCCTATATATATCGAGTTCCGGCGCCTTTATTAAGTGGTAGAAATCCATCCACACTATCACACACTGAAAGAATGAGTTCAAACTCAGACCCCATCAATTTAACGTTTGCTTTTTGACTGGTTATTGAGGAGGTAGTGAAATAAGTGGTCTCTTCTTAACTCTATGTACATACTTATATTAATTTTTTACTGTGAGTTTCCTTCCCAAAGAGTTTCCTGTAACCTTCTAGTTGAAATTCTTTCACCATTTAACAGATAACTGGAATGATGGAAAGGCAAATCTCACTCTTATAACCACATCAGCTTCTCTGGTACCGAAAGGAAAACAGTCACATATAAATTCTATCTACTTCGTTCCCCCGTGAAAAGAGGTTTCCTAAGCACTAGTCTATCAAGAGATAGTAGCCTTTGAGAAAAACATTATCAACTTAAAAAGTATTAACGTAGTCAGTGTGTGTTGGAGTCATTTTTTATAACATAACCCAGAATTATTTATTCAGAGCACAGAAGTAACGCAGTGGAAACTTACTTCTGTTATCATGATTCAGCATATAAGCCCGTGTGCATTATGCAGGTCAATATATATATTTATAGGTTTATGAGTGGAACTGCATACATCAAGCGGATATGGTTTTCAGTGCACCAACTGCATCTGGGCAAATTAAATCAGTTGTCAATGATAAATACAATCTAGACATTCACTGAACGACTGTAGTGCTAAAGTAATTAAACTCTTCGTTCACCATTTACTGTAGTCTTCAAAGCATACTTGAATCTTCTTCTGAGGCAAACAAACTACACAAACATCAAGCTACCTTAAACGGCATGATTAAAAGCAATTAAAATCTCATCAGAAAAGAATATGTCATATAATCCATTTAGCAGTCTTTAAAACTTACTCTTAGTGTAGAGTCAAGAAATATATTTGTGTAGTACAGCTGGTCATCATCATCGTCTTTAATAGGTGCATGGTTCACGATTTTAATTAGATTAGATACTGGTCCAATAAATCCTCCAGAGTTCAGATATCGTTTTTCACCAGGCTTTACCTCAGGATACAAATCCTAAACGCAAATAAGTAGTCGAAATTTAATATTAGGGACATCTTAGACTATGTTTAAACAAAAATATCATAGATTTATGACCAAAAAGCGACTCATTTATATCAGCCAAGTTTATTTTACTTTACATTCTATTCAGAAAAGTACCACTCAGACGTATGCAGCATAATGTACAATCAAAACATTGAATTTGAAGTGTTTTCATACTTTACAATGTTATCGCAACTTATACAACCGAAAAAACAACAAATAAGCAAGAGGAAAGATCTAAACAGGAAGGTTTTAAACACATACTACTGAGTTTTTCTCTTAATCTGCATCTAATTTTTTCTCTGCTAGATTTGTGAAAGGAACCTGAATAGGTCCAGTTATGATGGCAAAATCTAGCGAAAATATTTCCTACCAATCGTGAAAAGATTGGGGAGACTCGGGTTCGAATAAATTACCAAATTTTTATCGAAACTTAGGAAGCTAGGTAACATATTTCTAATCACAAATGTAGCTCTCTGGCATCCTAGACTTTATGAATAACTCACCTTCAGATCTGCCTTCGGCCAACAAAACTCCTCTGCCGAGAACACCACTTTCGATTCAAACTTCTGATATTCTTCGAGTAACTTTTCCAAAGTTTGCATGAAAACAACATCATAGCTATACAAAAAAGTTTGAAATAAATCATCTTTAAGAGAAATGTATGCACACAGCATTACACACATATACATACTGAATTATTAAAAATCAGATATTGGAGGTGACTCTCACTCGTCCAACTGAAACTGAAATAACCAGAAAACGCTTACATCATTTACGTTGGTTCAAATAATGGATTTATGGTCAAATAAAATAGCACAAGAAGTTCACACTGGACTTTGAGTTCTCAGTAAGATGAATGGTTCATCTAAAGAGGTTTAGAACCTCCAGCGACTATCGTAGGTGTCACTTAAGCACCCCATTACTTCCCACTTTCTTGACAAAAAAGAATAGAACCAGACTACAAAACAAACGACACGTGATGAAAACATGATGTTACATGTAGCAGCCGGGGAAATTCGCAAGTCCTTTTTTAAACGGCTGAAACGATATCCCTTCAGAACAGAGTTTGAAGACTAAATTTTTAATATGGCCTCAAATAACTGTCGTTGCATCAGCTGCCTTAACTTTGTGAAGATTCAAATGTCTCCACTGCGTATATTCCTTATTAAACTCTTATTGAAGATAATGTTAAGAACCAAAGACCAAATTTAGGCTTCTGTTACGTGTTCAGAAACCACTGTGAGATTTTGCAGATCGGAATGGCTCTGAAAATGAATGGTCGGTTACAGCTGTCTAACAAACTTTACTCTGAAAGATCAACTTGTATATTTCGGCTCCTTATACTAGGTGAATTGAATTCGAAAAGAACGTGTACATGCAAATGACTGAGTGTGATATAAGATTCTTCTAACCAGTGACATCAGCTAAGTGCACAGAACAAAAAGTCACAGAACCACTTTAACATTAGTACTCATTAGCCTTTAGTAACTCGGAAGTTTGAATAAAGATTGTTCATTCAGACTTTATTCGACTGAACTTTATTATAGTGACACAACATGACGGTCGCTTTGGTTAAAAGGTTCTGTTAACCAGACTACCAGTTGTTTATGTTTCATTTTATAAGATTTTCAGGCCCAGCAACTGGGATGTAGAATAACCAAGAGTTGGTGGTAAATAGTTCACGATATAAAACATCCCTCATATTGGTACGATAAAGGTTAGAATGGTGTTTGTGACTAAAATCCGTTAAAACAGGATGTAGAATAATCTTGCAGAACAAGTGATTATTATTTACCCGTAAGTGTTTTGAATTCTATCAAACAAAGATAATTTTCAAACATTTTGAACTGTCTATCGTTTTACTTTGTGAGTGTGAAATCTGGATTGAAGTGTTCATGCATTCTTCTGCATGAAGAATGCGCTAACTGAAGTAATTAGATATTCAGAAAGAAATTTGACTTCCTTACTGATAAAATAATAATCATCAATTAAATCACAAGCAACAAAAGAAGTCCCCTTTTGTCCAATGAGTCTGCAACAGCTCAACAAATCTAGTGACCAGTTATGAAATACAAGTCAAGACCGAAGATAAAAAGCTTTTGCTACACACGTCTACAATCACTTAAGGCTATAAATGAATCTTTCAGTAAGAACAGAAAACAAGACAACACTGTAAAACCTAATTTTTTTACAAAATATTCTATTGCTAAACCCTGGATACCAATACATGACGAAATATCACACTTACTCCAAGTCTAAGATTAAAGCCGAATATCAAAAATAAGCGGATACATTTTGTCTCCAGCGAAAATATAAAATATTTAGAGTATGGTATCATTTTCAGGCTGCGCATGAGTTGTAAAAACTTAAAGAAAATGTTTGTTTATAAAGTAGGAATGAATGTCTCTGCATTCACGTTACCTCAGAAAGAACTCCTTGCACTACCGAATCTGTCCGCAGGGTATATTACAAGCTTGACAAAAAAGGGTTCAACCTTCTTTAAACACATAAATTTTAGAAAAATTTAAAAATCTGTGTGAAACAAAATAAGCGTCTGACCGAATTTCATGGCGAATGCTTCTAATAAACTTTAAGAATCTATGACTTGCTTACCTGTCAACAAAGATAATAAGCTGATCATCTGGATAAACTGTGTTAGACAGCTCATGTTTTAATAGGTTAACTTTCTGTCCCCCTCCAACGGAAGATGCTACATTTCCACCATTCCAACTCATACCTTCTCCAAGAACCTTTAAAATAAAACGTCTTATTGGAAGAAATAACTAACCTTTACAGAGAACCCATTAAGACTACATGATCTCAAGAATCTGTGCAAAGCATCGTTTCTTTCAGTTGCTACGGTCAGGACAAGTACATCTTTATAAAATTTATTTATTAATATGCTTGAAAATTACCGTGACAGAGACAAAACTCAAGACATAGCCAAGTCAAACCCAAGACAATCGCTAATAGACTTGTACGCGACATCATCCAAAATGATTGAAATGAATTCACGTATTCTGTTTATATAGGTTTAGTGACTAAAACAAACAAGTGCATCAAGGTTATCGTTCGGCACACAGACTTACTTTTCTAGCGTTCAATGGTAAGGACAGCGGTCTAATTATTATGTGATTATTTTTTAACTTTAATGTGTGTTAAGACCTGTCTATGGCCGAAATTCTTTATTGATCAAGCCTAATTACAGTTTACAGTTTACAACTTATTTAGGATAGTAGGCTATATGCCTGTGTTAATCCTTTCGATTTATTGCATACAGGAGGTCCAATCTCGCCTTGAATGAATCAACGGATGGCGCTGATACGACGTGTTCCGGTAGGGAGTTCCAATGGTTCACAATTCGATGCGAAAAACGGATTTCCAGACGCAGACGATTCGACCGTGGTTTTTGAACCTTGAGGTGATGTCCTCGTAATTGGCTGGTGCTAGAAGGAAGAAATAATTTAGATAAATTAGCTCCAAAATCATTTCTTAGGATACGGTATGCTAGTATTAGGTCACCCCTGAGTCGTCTGTATGACAGTGGAAATAAACCCAGTCGACTTAACCTCTCCTCATATGACAGGGTTGAGAAGCCCTTTATTAGCTTAGTTCCTACTCTTTGCACCCTTTCTAATAAGTCTATTTCGTATATGAAACACGGGCTCGCTGCCTGGATCCCATATTCCAAATGAGGTCTGATATAAGTCGGATATAATATACGAAATATATCAGCGTCAAAGTTCGCAAAAGCCTTGCGTATGGCCCATACCATTCTAAAACCCTTAGTGGCTGCAGTTCTACAGTTTGTTGCTGTTTTCAAGTCATGCTGCACAACCACTCCCAAGTCCTTGTACTCAGTGACCACTGGGAGAGTAATGCTATTCATTGAGTGGTTGTGCACGTGACTATGGGATACATGCATAACTACACTCTTGCTTAAGTTAATCTCCAAGGCCCAGTGCTTACACCAATCACTTAACAAGTTTAAATCTTCCTGCAAAGCAGGTTGATCACTGTCATCGTGCAAAGCCCTCCATATCTTGATGTCATCAGCAAACAGTAAGCAGGATGACTTAACTACCGATGGAATCTCATTAACATAAATCAGGAAAAGAAGTGGGCCTAGAATTGTACCCTGAGGAACGCCACTCTTAACCGATTCCCATGTTGATAAAACCCCGTTAACTCGTACTCTTTGTCTTCTGTCCTTTAGAAAGTCTTGAATCCAGTCGGTAACCACTTTATTGATTCCCAGACTACCTAACTTTACTAGAAGACCTGAATGAGAAACCCTGTCAAACGCCTTGCTAAGGTCTATGAATATGGCATCCACCGGTATATTAGCATCAGCTGAGCTTGCCCAACTTTCTCTGGCCAAAAGAAGGTTGGTCAAGCAAGAATGACCTGCTCTAAAACCGTGCTGTTCCACAGCGAAAAGTTTGTTCCCTTCAATGAACTGAATGATAGCATCACGAATTATTCTTTCTAGTAGTTTAACAACAATACTGGTCAAACTAACAGGACGATAGTTCTGAACTAAGTTTCTAGATCCGGTTTTGAAGACCGGACTAATGATGGCATCTTTCCAGTCTCTTGGACATTTAGACTGGTCCAGAGACATATTGAAGTTTACCGACAATGGCTCGGCTATGCTTTCAGCCAATGCTGTTAATATACGTGGGTGGAGTTCATCAGGGCCACTGGACTTACCAGGATTGAGCCTTAGAAGCCACTTTAGGACAGTATCCTTTCCATTGTATAAGGGTGCCATTTTCAAGTTACCTTTTGGAAAATTTACAAACCTGGTATCAATATTATCAGAGAATACTTGACTGAAGTGCTTGGACAAAGCCTCAGTCTTAGTCAAGTTATCCTCAGCCTTGTTTGTCTGGTCATCTTCAAGCATAAGAGGTGGGATAGCATCACTCTTATGTGTTCTCTTGATATATGAGAAGAGTCTTTTTGGGCAGCCTGGTGAACATTTAACTAACTGGGTTTCGTAAGCTATCCTTGACTGGTGGATCAAAGTTTTACACTGGTTTCTGGTTTCACAGTATTTCAGCCGGAACTGCTTTAGCCCAGTAGAAACAAAGAGATTCCAGAACCTTTTTCTCCGTCTTAAAGGTGTTATAGCTTGTCTACTTATCCATGGTGGCCGATTTGTTGGCCTTTTAGGAACCCTCCAGGGGATGAGATCAGTGGTAACCCTCTCAAGCGTATTCTTAAATCTATCCCATTCATCTTCAATGGATGAGACAATGTTAACTGACCAGTCGGCAGTTGAAGCACACTCCTTTATAGCCACTATGTCAGCATGCCAAACACTTGGCCGGGATTTCGGTTGAAAACTGACTAAATTGCCAGCCCTTAAGCTAAAAGTCGAAAATTTTATTGATAACCAGTATCTTACGGAAATAAACTCATCGGCATACAGTCCCTCCACAGATGGCATTCAAAGTTGGAGATTCAATCTGTATAATATCAATTCTCAGGTTCACTACAATCAACATTAATCAACACTTTCCATCGCTGGTTTTAGAAATTCAAGTTTATCTACTTGCATATTTTTTTAATTTTTCCAGTTTTAGAGTCGTTTTGTGTTGAGGAATCAGCAGTAACAGAAGCATGTGAAGTTTACCGATAAATACAAATCATTTAAACTTTGAGAGAGCTCACATTGGAGGATAGTTTAAAATTTATCCAGAATTCGTGAATGGTTTCCATCTAACAGCATATTCAAAATAACTGATATTTTTCCTCTAACGTGATGATGCTTAGCCAGGCGCCATCATTCACCGATATACCTTTGTTCTATTTGACTATTCGTCCATAGCTATCTAACATGCATCTCGGTTTCTCAGGTACCCTTTTTACCAACAAGTCTATATGGTGTTAACAAAATCGTAGTCTGGGTTTGTGAATGGGGTGACTCACTGTCTGTTGGGCGAGTAGAATCGAAGATGAAGTCTTTTGTGAGAAATAGTTAGCTCTCAGGAACTGCAAGTACTAAAAACCATAACAAACTTTTACAAGTGAGGCGCTCGTTAAATCACTTAATCTATGATGAATTATGTAGACCTAAAACCAATATCCGAAAGCTTTCATGTTTCGAATATCAGCTAGTTATTCACCGTGATGCCGAGCGATTTTATTAAATACCTACTTTCGCTGTTGCCTATAGATGGGAACAGTTTATTCAGGCCACATCATGTGGTTCCTGTTTTCACTTACGTTGCAACACGTCTTCGAGTAGTGACCACAAATCAGCACTTTACTGTTGTTGCAAGACGGGAACAGATAGCCTTCACAGAATGAACCATATTGTGAGTATGAAGAAACGGTGTAAGGGATCTTTTCATACTGATGGCAAGGCCACGATGCCCATAGTCACTCAAGAGTCACAATAATTACCTTTAACATAAATGTTATTTCTCGTGAACACCAAAGCCTATACAAAGTCAGTGAAACTAGCCAGTAACCACGACAATAATATTTTGAGAACAAACCATAATGAGCTGAAATTGCCAAAAACATGAAACCTCACTGACGACTTCACGCTACTTAACTCAGTATGAGAGACAAATGAATCTAACCTGATTCCTCAAGAAGACATTACGTAGACATAACTGCTAATAGCAGTAGCTGTCAATGTAGTTGAAGATGGAACGATGAATTCATTGTTGTTTTCTCAAACCCAACTTCCCCATAATTTTCGCGGGTCATCGATCCGGCAGTCATTGCCTCATCGCTGTTCAGTAGGAAGAATAAAAACTATCAGAAACCTTCTTCTGTAATAACATTATCGTTGGTTATATGTTGGCGTAAGAATAAAGAATTCTTGAGTCGCCAATCAGTGTTTCGGTTTTCGCGTTGGTTAATACAAAGCGTTTCTGAAAGCCTTCGAGGGACAGTGTAAGGTCCAGCGTAGCAAGAGCTGGACATTGTCAGTTTATGAGACCTGACTGACAGCAGCTATCAGGATTATAGGCTGGTAACTTTACCTTCAAGAGTTCTTAACCATTTCCTCGCAGTAAGGCAGTTTTAGACACTACAAATAAGACCTTTGAATTATCGTGCTCCGCATTTTTGGACTTCAATTTATATGCACCTCAAGACCGTAAAAGACACTTTAAACACCCTGGGATCTCTCAAGAATGTCTTCGCCTACGGTGAAACAAACACCAAGACAGATATTTAAGCTGTGGATGTAAGGTGGAAAATAAATTAAGCGGGGACGCATAACGGTCAATGACTAAACACGAAGCATTATGAAACTGCCTTATCCACTCCACTTATTACCGTTGAGTCTGTCACCCTACTGTTTATATTCCAAAAGGAGAATGAAGCGTTGAAACAGGCTCTTACAGTAGTAATAATAAATTCTCAGCTTTTGCACTAGGGACGCCAGTTTACAGGTATCATCAGTATGAGAAATTACATATACGAGGGGCCAGCTTATTCACAATTATTCACTTACAAAATATATACATACGAAAGGTTATGGAATAATACCTACGATGTCTTTTTACACAGGCCGATGCGATGTACACATTATAATACAAAGCACAACCACTGAAGAAATTTAACCAAAATGTGCGTCATATTTGATGGTCGCGTTACTGAAGATAGGTATGTTCCTTTATCAACTGTTAAAATTGCATTCTAAAACGCTAATTTCTACACCAATAATAATGATAATAGCAATATTAATTACTAGGGACACGTCAAAGCAGTGAAGTTCCAGTTAAAAATACAAAACAAGTATTTTTGCAGGAATAAGTAATTTTTAGTCCATAAACAGCCAGGAGCCAGCTACACAGACTACGGAATTTGTAAACAAAGCCGGCTACTAATTCGGTGCTATCCCCACACTGACTCAGGGATCGCGGAAAAGCCAGCGGTAATACCACGCAAAATCAGGACACTCACAACAAAAACACCAAACCAAAACAAAGATAAGAAAATTAAACTTATTATTCGCAGGGATA